GATAATGCAGGAATGCTCATATTTATTATGAAAAATATAAAATACTTAAAATACTTAAAAAATAATACGTAACAAAAAAGTAATACACACACAAAGAATAAGGTATAAAAAATTATTTTAATATCATTTTTAAATTATATAATATCATATATGTTAATTAATATTTAATCATTAATTAAAAAGTATGTAGTTTATAGATTGGTCAGATATACATATAAAATATTTTGAAAATTTTGAATTTTAAATACGAGTATGTATAATTATTTCTATGCAAATTGTGTAAAACGACTTTTCCACGGCTTTGTCGGATTGTTAAAAACCTGCTGGATAGACCGGATAACATACGCGAGCGTGTGTATACCTGTGTGTGTATGGGTGTGTGAGTATAGGTGTGTGTGTGTGTGTGTGTGTGGGTGCGCGCGCGCGCGTGTGTGTTGAAAATTATTATACAGAAATAATTTAAATCGTATAAATAACCTTAACGCTAATGGTTAGTTTTTATTTTTTTTACTACACTGGCATTAGGTATATAAAGGAGAGAGACGTATTCATTTGAAAGTTTGAATATTGAATTACCTATCTGTTTCAAGCTATATTTCAATATGATTAAAAAATAAAGTGATATGTTTAGAAAAGTTAAAATGGCTTTAAAAATTCCAAATATTTTTGGCGAAAGTGATAATATTCTTTTTCAAACTAAGCAGTTTGGTATATATATAAAAGGAAGGATTACGTATTTTGCTCTTTTGGAAACAAGATTATCCAAGTCAAGTGTCCCAAAAAATCTGAGGTAAAGAAAATAATCTAATTCTCTTAGACGGATGTTATCAATAGAACAACTTCTATTCCAGAGTATTATATATAATATATATATAATACTTGATTTACAAAACTCTAAAAAATTACAACTTAATTCTCAATATTGATGAATTTTCAGTACAAATTATTAATAAATTTGTGTTTCATTTTAAAATTGAATTCGTATTTAGTGCTTTAGATCTTGATGTGTTTTAATTAAAATTTAGTGATTTGAGAGTTGATGAAGCATTAGGTTTCAACCTTTGGACTTGTATTAATATCAGGTTTCTGTATTTATAAATGCATATGACTCTCTAAGCTCAATTTACATTTTAAATATTAGAATTACAACTTGTGTCCATGTTAATGATGATTAAATATACGTTCACTAATTTGAACTAGAAATTTTATAGGTTTGAAATAGTACGTTTTGTTTTATAAATATATGATATCCTTACAAAAATAGAGTGAATATTTAATATTCACTAATATTAACAAATATTATATTGTGAAAGATAATATGAAGAATCCGTAGTTACTGTACGAAACTAAATGCTTGTTCTGAATCGATTGGAATCTGTTATCACAAGAAGATATCGATCACGTATTATTATAGAAGAGACACTTATCAAAGTATTGCGGCTTGATCATAATCGATGACTATGGTAGAAAGGATGAGGAAAAATACTATATTTTCATTAAAAACACAATTATTAAATCTTACTGATGCAAAATATTATTCTTTATAATTAATAAAATTATTCTTTATAATAAAAAAATCTTTACAATCAGTAGAAATAGGATATTTATTACATTCAAATATCTATATTGGTTGGCAAGTTAAGTTAACGTTACTTTTTATAATAATAATTTAATGATGTTAAAATTTTTTATGACTGTAACGATAACTAACTAAACTTAAGATTGTGCTAAAGGAAAGTCACTTTTAAAAAGTAACTAATCATTATTATACGATACTTATTGAAAAAGTGACGAATAAAAAATAACGTGTTACCTCGTTACAAGTAACGCCTTACTTACCATTCTTACAGATATGTTAACATAAAAGATAATTTTTATATATAGATACAAATATCTTTTATGAGATATCAAAATTATGCTATAAGATATAGAAACGTAAAAATTTATTTTTATTAAAACTATAAAAAATTTAAATATATAAATGCGATTTTTTTTTTAAAACAGAATATTTGATAAAGTCTTAATAAACCATTGATTGTTGTTTATACATGCTGTCTAAAAAATGCATATGTTTCTACATATCGGTTGTTACGGAGAGTATTAACAAGCTCTCGATGCATGCTGAAGGCTTAGGACGCTCGCACGGAAGAGATCTGGATTCGAAATAATAATGTTCGTAACAAATTTATTTACAGATTTTCAATGCATTAAGATCTTAAAATGATACTCAATCGAGCATCAAATTATTAAATTGTTCAATTTAATTTGTGATATTACTACAGTAGTTTTGTAGTTGCGTTTCTAAGTCTGAAAAATCAATTCGACGCGCAGTTTAAATGACTATGTATATATAAATTCACATGAAAATATAATATTTAAGCATCCAAGATCCAACTTTGACCGTTTTAAGCATTATCTCTTACTTATTATGTATAGTCATATTATACGGTCTTAATAAATAAGTTTATTATAGAATATTTTAGTCCGTAATTAAAAAAGAATGATGTTGTGATTGTCGTACAAAGACGAAATATCTGAAAAAATTAAAACAAAATTCTGATAATCACTTTCCAGATAATTGCATCTCCTGACTACTCTCGCGGTTGTAATCTCCGGATAATAATTAAGTTACTTAAGGTTTACGGCGAATTACTGTTGCCGGAAACGGCAAATTCTGTAAGTATAGAGTAATGTCTTTTGAAATAAAGACGAAGCAAAAAGAGTAATATAAAATATCTTTAAAATTGGATATATACTTAGCGAATGAACATTGAATTAACAGTTAACATACTAAATGTTCGGACATTCATATTTGTATTTGTAAGTCGTTGTTCTTTTCTTGATTGTATTGAATACTAGCACTCGATCAGATCTAGTGTCTACAAGATATAAATAGCAACAAATAGCAACAACGACCTTTTGATGTTCGTTCGGTATTCATTCGCAAATGTACATTCGACAGAATGTTAAGATATAATATAATATTCGTAATTTGTAATTGATTCATATAATTTTTAAAAAATCTAAATTGATATTAATTAATTTAATCTTTAACAAATTGTTTATTAGATTACAAAAAAATGTAAGATATGAATGAAGTTTGTTGATTCTATCAAAACCAAAAATGTTATTAACGTAAGATTTTGATAGGACGAGCGAATAGGTAGGACGAGAATGTCATAAAAAATAACTAAAAAATATAATATTACAAAACTAGATGTGTATATCAATTCACAAAATATTTAAGCACTAAGATTCAATTTAGACGCTTTCGTTACTTAGTAATATATTCACGTTTGCGAAAATCCTTTATTTATTTGTGAAAAATATTATTTATTATCTCATGTCATTAAAAAATACGATCTCTTTAATGTTATCATTTTATTAAAAAAGTATAACTAACTTAACCTGTCAAAAAATAATTTAATGACAGAGATACGCAGAAGAGAATGATAGAGAACGCTACTTTACGTTTATATAAATTATATTTTCTTTACGAGACTATACGTGAAGAACGTGAAATGTGATCAGTGTGAAATGCATTGTGAAAAATGCACCTAAATGCAAAACTGATACAAGTACGATGTCGATGGATTAAAATTCCAATGCTACTGAAACATGAGAATGGTTTTTACGTTTATTTGTGATACTGGAGATATAATAAAATAAAAATATACTAAGTCACAATAAAAAAAATTGTATACATTTGTATAATATACATATACATATGTGTGTGCGCGCGCGCGCGTGTATGTAAACTTTTGTGTTTACTAATGTAATTTTTAATTTCCTTCTTAAATTTTAATCTTGTATCAGATACAGATCTAAAACAATGAACTCAACGAATCTAGCGACATGCATAATAATTACAAAATTAATTTGCATTTTTTATCTTTGCATGTTACTTAATTCAATTAACTACTGTTAGAAAAATGCGTGTTAAAATTAAATAACTTAGAGCATTTAATTCAAGATATTTGATTACACAATACTTGGATAAACACGTAATTAAAATGTTTCTTTATTACAATTCCGCTTATATATTTAAAAAAGTATATTTATATGTTTATGTGTAATTTATAAAAGTGTTAGATTATCCATCTCATAATAAAAAATTATTATGGAATAACAATTGAAATATTAATACTATATTAATATCGTTGTTGTTCGATTTTGTGTGTGATTTTGGTGACTTTCAATCCCGTTGGGTTATCTCAGTAAAGAGAAATAAATCAATTCGCAAAGAAATCTCGCAGATCACATTGTCAACATTTCAGACTTCCGTCTCGAGAATCGGATCACAGAGCGTGAGACAAGAAATCTTTAGTAGCGTATCACATGTCACAGAGCGGGTGGTGCACGGAACACACTTTTGCGCGAACATTCTCTCGATAATAGTTAACTGGAGCTGTTCCATCTCAATCTACGATCCAGCAGAAGGGACTGAACGGTGCGGAACACGTTCCTGCCCCTTATCGAAACAGGAAGAAATGACGATTTCTTCGGGACATTCAACGCTTTCCTGTGCGCTTAGGTGATTAAGGACCAAGGGATAAAGCTGGGTAGAAGAGATATACCACCGTTGTAGATGGAACGATGTGGGCGTGCGAACGAACAAAACCGCGAGAGAGAATTGGAGAGAGGAAGATCGAGAGGGTGAGAGATAAAGAGAAAGAGAGAGAATGAGGGAGAGAGAGTGAGAGAGAGCGGGGGAGGGCAAGGACAACGTTTGAAGATTGGGTCGCTTGTAGGTATGAACGCGCGGCTTATGCGCGAGGCGTGCACCACCGCCACCGCTACCGCCACCGTCACCACCGCCGCCACGCCACCACGCCGCCAC